AATACTACGAGCATGAGTCTATATTTGTGGAAAGCGAGATCGAACATGTTGATGACAGAAGTTTACCAGAAACGATGAACACGAAACAAGACAGAGAACGCATGTACTTATTTTTTCAGTTTCTTCATTTTCTCTAGGAAGGCTTCACCTACAGCACACGATGCAGCTTTATTATTGTTACTCATTCTCAATCAATCAAGACGAAATCTTTTCCACTTTTGGAGGACCACGACTAAAAACTTACTTTACAACTGTACAGGTACAATTTTTTTTTTCGTATGCTTAGAGGAGTAATTGGGAAACGAATGAGTGGGAATATGACGACGAAAGGGCGACACTTTTTATTTGTGGACGAGCAAGAAAGTTCAAGTTGAAGTTCCTACATGTTAGGTATACCCGCTTTATGGACATCTTCTTATAGTTAGTTCTATTTTCAACTTTACATCATCATCACATTACTTGATAAAAGAAAGTATTGAATACAACAGGTAATTCGAAGCTTAATATTGTATTGTTCCTGGAAGACGAAAGCTTTTCTATTTTTAGAGGACCACCACATCAACCACGAGCACCAGAAAACTACTAAACTGCACAGGTACAAAGTTTTTTCATATGGTAATGGAACGCGGATGCGAAGACGAAAGCCTACGGCGATACATAGAGGAAAAGCACGAACACAGGAAGATGAGCGAACATAATTTGGGCAGTTGTGAACATGAAAATTTTTGAAGCAAAAGAGTAACATGGTCGAAATCTGAAATCTGGTTTTATGGAAGATACTTTGATGACCCACAACCCAAAAACTTGAAAAATGGTAAATTAATTCAGAGGAACTCCTTACTTCGTTATGTTGTACATTTTATAACTCAGGTAATTACAATTCTTAACAGGTCTAATCCGATAAGTCTGATTGTAATTCATAATAGTGTTCCATATTCTTAAACCAAAGGTATTAACCCTAGACCATCCTTAGTCCTGACGGCCCGAGCACGACAACTTCTCCGTAAGATCAGTTTTGTTTTGATTTGTTGAGCCTCCTGCTCGTTCCTGCACGAGCTTGCGAGATCTTCCACGATCTCTGATTACAACAATAACCCGCGTTCCAGTTGCCTCAACTTGAGCAGCCCAATGCTCTAGGTTGTCGACCCAACTTTCCAATATTCTTAAAGGCATAAATCCTAAACGATAATAACGGGGAAGTTGTCGTGTTAGGACCAACCGACGTATAAATCCGAGCACGACAACCGTTGTCGGGCAACGTCTCCGTGAAGCAGAGACACCCTGTAGCTGTACATATCCTATCCCCTCGAAGTAATTATAAAGAGCGTCACCCCCGCCACGCTCACCCATCTGACAAGTCCGGAAAGCGATATGAAAGCGTTTGAGGCATCAACAAGTGTGCCGAGTAATCTTGATTTTCTTTCGTGTCTCATGAAGTGAAATCTTACATAAAGATTACAAAGACAATGACAAAGACAATATCAAGTTTTCTACTCCAAAAT